TGAGGTAGCTTTTTCCAATCACGCCTTTCCACCTTTCAGTGGCTATTCTGAATGCGCATTTAAATCACCAATTAGAATGAGGGTTTCGGTTTCGGTGGTCGGCACTTCGGACAAAGCACAATGCACTTCCTCAACGGAGGCATCATGTTCTCCCTCCAAATTGGGCGCATAGACCTGTACCAAGGTCATCGATGTAGCCTGTTGTAGCTTCAGTCGAGGGATTGCCACCCTTCCGCTGATAGGCTTCCAATCGACTATTCTATCGGCAAGGTTGGGTTCTACCAGAATGCCAACACCGGCCTGAGCGCGAGTCGTGATATCGACGCCTGAGAAGAATAGCTTCCATCCATTGAGGTTCAGGAGTCCAGAGCCTTGGCATTTCGTTGATGAGAGTCCAACAATGTCGAGTTGGTGCTTTATGGCTTCATCAACTAACTCCTGCGCTTTCCTTCTGAATGAGTATATATTCCAATTTCCGACTTTTAGTTGCCACTGGCGATGTCGTTCTCGCGGACTCTTTTCTGACGTGCTGTAATGGCATCGCGCTGTCTGCATTCTCCGTTCAGTGCGAGTGGTGACTCCGTTGCTGACTGATATCTTCGTCGTCGTCAGTCGGTCTTCGTCAGCAGTTGTTGTGCTGTTATGCACCCGGTTACCAGAGAGCGATGAGCAGGTTCTGATCGCGGACTTTTCGCAGCCTATTTCAGTCTCTGAACAGCCTGTGCAGCTCTCGGAATTCCGGATGACGACCGAGCCGGTATAACGTTCGATGAGGGCAATACCCACTACCATGAGTGGTGGGTGGCTAAGTTTTATAGCAGACCTCGTCACGGTCTCAAACCATTCTTCTTTCTCATCCGAGCTTGGGAACAAAAGACGGCGGAGATCGTTTGTAAATTATAACGTCAACATAATATATAACAATCATGATGCGGCCATTTATATTGCACAATAAAATCTTCCACTTAAGCAATGCAAATGAAACGTCGCTGTTGCAATACAGTCTAAGAATGAATTTGGCTGACTTTACATCGTAACGTGATATAAACAGCTGCAAATAAGAGGAAATATAATGCTGGAGCAAAAATGTTCCACTGTTAGACTTTTGTCCAGAAAGTACTCCATCAGAGTATTTAGGATGGCGCGACAGGCTACCGTGTAATATGAGTTGTCCAGAATGAAAAAGATGGCGCGAAAACCAATTATTCGATGCCTTGGCCAGTCATATCATAGTGCTGATAAACTTTCCCATGAACGTAGGAAAATGAGTCGTCGCCATCAGAGAAAGTGTTGCATCACACTGAGCATAAAGAGCAAGGGCGTATGCTACGCCTTTCCGGCAGATAGTAAACTGGAATAAATCGATACTCTAACGTCTGCGCAGTTCCACGTGAGATCTGCACAGAGACATTGGTGAATTGTATCTCTGTTTCATCATCTCCTTCTAATTTCTACATTTCTTTGTCCCACTACTTTCACTGTTCGTTTCATCAGTCTTCTTTGTCTTTCTGTTTCAGCTCTCGTTCACTTCAACATTCTAATCATTTTCTCATGCTTCTTGTCCAGTCTCCTTTCCCCTCATTTTTTTCCTCCTGATCGTCTGTGCTTCCTTAACTTTATCCATGTCGGTTTTCTTAAATACTACTACCGTCACCATCCTTCTCATTGTGCGTTCATTTCAAAGGCTAACTTCATGATCGCCCATTCATTTAGTTACAGAGTGTGGTGAATACTGCAGGTGATGTGTCAGCACATTTGACGTCAAAAGACGAGAACGTTTTTAGAATATCCGTGTGCCCGCTGCTGTTTAAATTTATGTGCGTTTCGCAGCAGACTGTCGCTGAGTTCCTGTTGTTTGGAGAAGATGAGTAATCAGGATTTGCCGGCTCATTTGACGTCATGATTTGTCACCTGCACATCTGGGATGGTGAGTCTTTCGGAGCGTAAATGAAAGAATTACTGAAAGGATTTGGGCAAGAACCTCCAGAGACATAGAAATTTGCCAATACCACTAAGAACAGATTAGCAGCCGTCGCTATCTGTCGAACTCTAGATGACAGTATTGAGGAAAAAGCCAGTAAAACGGATCTCGGTTAGTCATCTCGGACAGCAACGCCAAATTTTAAAGAAATTGAGGGTTTTATCTTGTTTGTCAGCTAGAATAAAATTTATTTAATGACCTTCATACAAATAAGTCCTTACAAATAAGCTTCCGAAGTAACCCACTAAGTTCTGATAAAGCATCTGTATGATCTACGTCTGAAATCTTGGATAGGATTTGCTGTTGTGGGGTGTAAATCCAAGCAGATAGTTGATGACGGTGTAATTATAGCCACATGTTCAAAAATGCGATAAGTAGCTAAGAGTTTGGCCGACTACCTGTAAATCATATATCTTTGGAATGATGATTTGTCTCAGTAATTGATCTGATACCTCATCAACACTGGAGAAGCAGCGACCAACCAAGCAGGATCACAAAATAGCGCCGCCTGTCACTGAATTAAGCCTGAAAACTGTCAGTCGTGTACTTGCTTTTGACGGCGAACCGAAAAATGCATTCCAGATACACTCAACATGTGCGTGCGGTTTCAAAATTTTCGTCGCATGATGTTCAACGTTGCTTAACAGTAATACAATGCTGATCTGCAGGTTCATCGAGAAGTAAACGCGAGCGAGCGGCTCAACAAACAGCGTTTGCTACTGCTTCTGCTGTAACGTTCAGTGTTCGATCGCCAGGTACTTGGTCCATGCTCAGCTGTTAGAACGTCACTGGTCCGACTGAGGAGACGATGTGAGATTGTGGCGACGAATAAAATCTTTCCTGATGTGTAGGGGGAGGAGGCGGCTGTGCACTTACTGTTGACGGCCGTAAA